TGACGTTTATAATCTAAGTAACTATTAAACTGCTAAATTTCCTCTTTTCCTTGCTACCCCTTAATGTTTACAACATTTAAAAATAACATTTAATAACTTGCACCATAAGTAAATTTTCTTTAGTAACAGCAGTTTATCTTCCATATTTAAAGAAACTAATTCAGAAAACAAAGGTAGCAAGATTCATCAAGTGCTGTTAAATTAGCACTCACCACCAGGAAACAGCAATTGCCAATCGGGAACACGCTCTTGCGATCTCTAGAAACATGTAATTGTTGAGTGACACCAAGGAGGGTCTTTCAAATGTTGTTGCTGATTCTCAATGGAAAACATCTAGACTGTCTTCATTTCTCAGTCAAACATGGTTTCTTGTAAGAAGAAAAGATGCAATAGTGGTATTTTCTGCCTTTTGAACCTTTCAAGCTTCCTTTTCACCAGAGTTCCGTTTCCAATAATCAATAGACTGATAAAGCCATATGCTTTCAAAGACAACTCAATGCAAAAAAACTTATAGTTACAATGCCTACTTACAGTATAGCTCGCTTTCTAGTTTCAATGCCTGAAATACCACTTTTGCTGGAGTGAATGACTGCTATTCAGAAACAACATATAGCGAGAAAGGAAAAGCTGGGCAAAAGGAAACCTTTCAAAAGAAAGATTACTTTCCGAGTTTAATGCAACCACCAAGCAACAATCCAATTAACAAAGACATTACATTAAGACTGAAGATATATTTAACACAGCAGTGGCTTAAAAACAAACCAATGTTAGTGAGCCCAGAAGGAGCAATGGTGTACGAATAAGCAAGCTTTTCAAAGAATTTTCAGCTTTCCAACCATACTTCCCCAAAACCCGAAAACCTTGTCCATAGGAGACGAACTGGAGTCAAAGTAGATTCTGGTTCTATTCGTGGCGTGATAACAGCATTGAATACACCACGCCCCATATCTGGATAAAAGGAGTGGATGTCTAAACCCAAAACACTTGACAAAGCCATCAGACAAGAAAAGGGAGACCATCTCTTGTTCTGACAGTTTTTCAAGGCCTCAAATTTGATACAGTCAAGAAAAGTCTTGGACTTATTCTCAAAGATATCAGTGACCTCAAAAGTGTTGTCAAAATGAAAAAAACTCCCACGAAGACTAGAAGTTTTATGAGCTGGAAGGAGACTCATGAAGTGTGGATGGAAAGCATAATATTCAGCATATAGAAATAACTCTATTGATGTCAGAGCTCTAAGTGTCAAGGAAAGGTTTTCACTTCCATTCACAACAACTGATGCTGAATTATACAGGCAGTTTCCATCAGCACTGACCCTAGTAAGAAAGTTGATACCCGGTTGTAAATAATACCAAAATGTACTTTTGCATAAGCTTTTCACATTATATATTTATATATATAAGTATAATTTGAAACTGGTGTGGTAAAAATCTGTATATAGGACTTGTTATGATACTTTGTCAGAATTTAACAGTGACAATTTGAACTGAACTTTGATACCAGTATTATTAAACAAACTGGGGCAAGAGGTTCTTCCATAATCTGACATGTGATCCTTGCTTATTCAAAACTTGATGTTAAAGAAGAGGGATTTTTTTAAAATCGAAGGCTAGATTCAAGGGGGCAGGTTAATATTGGAGAGGGGCATCATCGAATCATTACAGTATACAAACTATTCTGTACTGACAATATATTTTCGTTTTGAGTTTTAGTTTATACTTTTTTGGTTATTATTGATTTTTATTGGTTTCTATTGGTAAGAATTTCCTAAATCGTTACCCGGGCTATAATATCAGCAGCAACAACAGCAGCGCCATCAACTAAAAATTGCATTTCACAAGGAAGCTGTAATTCAATATAATAGTTATAAATTATTTCCTGTTTTGTTATTCTAACAGGTTGTAACAATTATTTCGTGCTGTTGTTTTATGTCAGCCTAGACAGTTTGGTGTAATTTACTCGGAAGATGTTCTTTTAAATCTAGAGACATGACGTGACGCGAATGGTCTTGACGGGCCTAAAGTAATTATTTGTACGCAGTAAATTTTCCCAATATTTTTTTAATCAAAAATCATAAAATACCTTTCAGCGAAAAGTCTCTCATTCTTTGAAGGCTTCAGTCGCTGATCAAATTTCGGCAGGTTAGCATACGCTCAACAATTCAGCTCAACAGCAAGATGGTTATTGCTTTTATTGTCAATTTTAGTGCTTAATAATACAGTGAAGATTCCTTAAAGTTCAAATCTTGCAAAATATGAACAAATTTTTAAGAATTTTCTCAATTCTAAACGCAGCTTTACCCAGGGGCGGACTGGCTCCAAATTTAGGGCCCGGGCAAATTCGTCGAGAAAGGGGCCCCGAAATTCAGATTAAGTTTACGGGTATCTTTTGTAGCAACATTTTTCAGGCTGGCCTTAAAGGCTATTGGAATATTGCTTTTAGTTTTCCCTAATTTACACCACATAACTTAAAAAACGCCAAATTCATCACAGTGGAGCCACATTAAAAAAGAAATGGATTTACTACCGTATAATACAAATGTACTCAAATATGGAACTCAGTTCCAAACGAAATAGAATACTCAACAACTTTACAGATATTCAAAAAAAATATCGGAATTTTCATCGTTCAATTGTACTTGTGATCTTTGCAAGGAATACATGCAACATCGGTTATATTTGATTTACATTATATCTAGCGTTGGTAATTTAAATTAATTGGTTTTAATTAGCTTGAGTATAGCTAAAGATTGTATCAACTTTAAATAAAAAAAGAAAGAAAAAGCCAGGGATGTAGGCATTGGCATAAAAGATTAATATTGGGGCTTCTACAATCCTTTATTTGGGTCCGTGTCGTTTTCACTGTTTTGCCTGGGGTTTTATTGTGATGTAGGCTAAGAGGAAAGAGAAAATCATGCCATTGTTGGGAAAAAATTATCGTTTTCTAGCTAAATGACTTTTAAATGGGAGAAGAATGTTGTAAAGAAGATCTAACGGCAGGTTGTCATCGAGAGATTATTTTTCTATAGTGTATGAATTTCTAGGGTAAAATCTGAGTGAATTAAGTGTCGCTGTAGTGTTTCTGCAACTAAACTTTTGATTGGTGGATGGCTGAAACCCTCAAACATAAAAGTCCGCAATGAAATATTATCTTCCCACAGAGCAAATTATGGGCCTAATGGAATGTCTCAGTTATTCAAGTAAATCTTTATATGTAATTTTCCAGTCAAAGCACATTTGGGGTTGATAATTTTTCCGGCCATTGGTTGAGCAGCCAGTTTAATTGATTGGTTGAGCAGCAGTCAAGATGGAAACATCAGTAGCATAGGCAAGGCTGGCGTGTTTAGATTGCTCCGGGGTTTACTAGAGGTCGCCGCCATAGTTAGGGATTTTGGCCGAATTCAAGAAAAAGTTTGGAAATATGACATTATAGGGATTGGGCAGAAAATGCATCTAAAGTATTTACAACTAAACATCATATTTGACTAAAGGAGGATCCTAGGCAATGCCTGTTGGGTTTCTTTTACAAAAATCCCCGTGGTTCAAAGAGGTTTGATTTTGACATAACAATGGGAAGGAAGTTGGAGTTGGTTTTATAATAAACTTTAAGCGTTCAACAACGCATTACTACGAGAAACAACATTTTAACAACGAGGAATGAGTTGGAAAAGGTGCAAGCGTTGCGAATGTGGAGAGTCAGAATCAAAGCAGCTGACTCTAGAATAACCTGAACTGAAACAAAAAAACTGGGCAAAAATAGAAGGAATTTGAAAAAGGTTTGAAGTACAACAAAAACAAGCAACGTCTTAAAGATGTTCTGTGAAGATTTCTTTCTCGAATGGGCATGTAGAAAAGGCTAAAGCTTTAGCTTTCTCTTCCTTGCACTCTTATTTGTGGCTGAAGATGACAGTTTTTGACCAGTGAAATGTGTTCGCGTAAAGCCAATCTCCTTAAACTTTTCAATTAATTCTATGAAATGACGTCCCTGATGATAATTTGTTCACAATTACCGACAAACCAAGATCATAATCTCAACTTGTAGCGACAAGCGCAACATTTCCGACACACATAACTTTAAGCAAATTTCTAAATGCAACAATAAAAAAACCCTGTATAGCCTGTAGAAGACAGTAAATAAATGTTCTTAGTAAGATATTTTCAAAAGTAGAGAGTCATTCTATTCTTTGTTTAGATGTCAAACTATTTCTACATTTCTATGAGTATAAAGCTTATAATGCATCTTAGTCTTCCAGTTGCATCTCGTCTCCTTTTCTTGTTCAGTTTACAATGGCAGACATGTGGTGGAGCAAAAATTTTGTCCCAGCTTTCTATGCGTTACACGATTCTTATCAGACCGAAGAACAAACAAGGAGGGGGGCTGAGCCCTCCGCTGTTTTGATGTATATTCTCAAATCTATCTGGTTTGCATTAAAGTAATCTACCTTTCTAGGAATTGAGTCAAAAATCTTTCATGTCCTTGCAAACATTGAAACTGAGGACCCGATGAGAAATTTTTTCCGATTTTGGAACTTCGATTAAGTATCGTCTTATTGCATTAGGAACAGCGAGCCCTGGGCCCAGAATACTGCATGTTTACGTGGGACCCCAAATTCTAGAAAATGTCTTTTTCAGTACTTAGATACCTCAAAGTGATATTTCTATTTATTCTGTATCTATTTATCTCGAGAGAGTCTAGGTGTAATGGCAAGAGAAGAGGTCCCTACCAAACAATACAAAGCCATTTCATAGTAAAATGAAGAAAATTTGCAATAATTTTAGGAGGGCCCACCGGGCCATCGCCCGGTAACCCGACCGGCCAGTCCGCCTCTGAGCGCAAGGCATAAAGATTTCGAGGGAACGGATTCGACAGTCTCCCGGCGGGTCCACTCTTACCCGTGTCTTCAATATCTCTGAGAAAGGGGTTCAATTTTGTCATATACCTAGGAAATAGATAATAGAAAAAACAGTGTATGATATGGGAATCTTAATACAGCTTCTAATTTTTCTTTGTTTGGCCTTATTTCAATTACTTAATTTCAGAAAAAAGGGTTTATATTTTCTTTGGTTTCTAAGAAAAGGGGAATCAAATTGGAATCCAATATCTTGAGTTTTTGTTTGAGTGGAAATTCATATAGTTTTACCAAACGATTCCTAATATTTTGCGAAACATTTTTCAAGAGAGTCGATTTGTTTACAACACCACAAAATTAAAGTCACAACAACACAAATCAAATTTACAACACCACAAAACGGTAACAAAACCACGCTCGAATAACCCCTGCAACAATTTCTTTTTAAAATCCGCAGCAAGCAAGAAGCCTGCCAAATCACAAAGCATAAAAATTAACTCGGATATCGGAGTTCAAAAGCGTATCATGTAAATAAACGGAATAAGACTTAAACAAGTAAATAAATTGGATGCTTCCCAACGAAATAACAAGAACCATAATTGTCTTAGATAAAATGCATAATTTGAAATGCATCGTCGGTTCATTTTCGCGGATCCTCAACGTTCTCCACATAAAGACCTCTGTAGAACTCATAAACCAAACGGAAAAAATAAATTGTTGTATCCAGTGCAGTGATAATCTACGAAAGATCAAAAAGGACATAAATTAGTTTCAAACAAAGAATGGAGGTTATAATTAAAGTCACGCCGATGAATGATAAATGACGCGCCCATGGTTCAAACTAGGCGTTTATTCGAACAAAGAATATTAACGCATTGAGAAACTGGTGTTTGGTTAATTTATAGATTTTTACCGATACAGAGAAGCTTAAGAATAATGTCATTTACAATTTTTACTCAAAGTGGCCGTCCTATTTCAGTTTTAGAAAGTTCTTGGAATTTCATTTTTTCAATTATCATAACTTGAAGTTCCTCTTCTTTTCCCATATAAAAACTCAAAAGCTCATTTGAGAATGTCCTCTCGTGTTCAAAAAATATTGTACACATATTGAACTTACAGAAAATATTTGAATAAAATTCTTTTCCATCTTCGGTGTTTCACAGAAAATGATTCCGAATGAAACAAATATTGGAAAAAGCAATGCATAGTCGAAAATCTTTATCTGTGATTTGACCATCTGCGCCAGCTGAAACATAGAAATTGATAACGATAAAATGCTGATAATTTGAAAATTAGTTAATGCACCATCATTACTCAGACCCCCTAGAGGACCACTGGTGCGTCCATGTGGCCATATTCAACCAATTTGTGCCAGATTTGTACAGCTCCTTTAGGCAATATAGTCAAAATGCAAAAGGCACCATATTACGTTTTTTGGAATCGCTATTTTTAACAAAGGATTTGAGAAATATCCTGCTATTCGAGCTGAACTCGAGCATATGGTAACATGTTTGAGAACTATAAATTTTCGTTAGAATCAATTATGAGCGAAAAGGGAACCGACAACCGGGAGCTTCTAGCTTTGTTTACGATTCGATGAATTCTCTGTGAATGAAAATTAGCAAAAGTAATTACTTACAAGTAACTGGATGTGAATCTTGACGAATGAAAAACCGAAACAAAGCAGAAATAGAATTGAATTGCTTTGGAAGAATTCTGACGAGCAGCAACAGAATGCAACGACGGTTGACAACGTAACGACTAGAAGCGGGATCAGAGGTTTCATTGCTTGCATCCTTGGCTGCAAATTATGAATATTGACTTAATTGAGATAATAAGAAAGGACAATTGTTGAAAAAGTGGAGGGCAGGGACGTAGAGATCAGGGGTACTGTTGAATGCAAGCCCCAGGGTTTTTAGATGGATCATTATCGAAACTCTGGGTCAAAGTTTTGCAATCGTTAAATATAAGATAGAGACAAAATTTCTGAAAAAAACGGATAAAAATGTGTGCTGAAGTTCACAATAATGATAAGATTTGTTCGTCTTTAATTCCTAGTTTCTATTCTTATGTTGGTCTTCTTACTTCGGCATGTATTCACTTTGCTTTGAAGTTCTGAAAGTAGTCTTGCTCCCTGCTAGATTTCGAGTTAGACAAAACCGGTCATTATCTCTGTATATACCAACAGTGATGATGATATTTCTTTCCCTTACCATAACAACCTTGATATTAAAGTTCTAATTTATCCTTTGAACAAAAGCACTTTGTATACCTCGCGAAGGCCTTTCACAGTGTTATATAACTCTCTTGATTTCACCAGTAGAATATCAGCAATAATCACGATTTTTACAATGTAAAATATGTGCCGAAATTGAAAGTTCACAGCAGGAACAATCTAGAAAGTACGAAATATAATTTAACGTTGTCAATAAAAAGTAAACTTCAGTGAAAGATAAATTTGACTGGGGTTGAGTAGGAAAAACTGCAGAATGAGATGTAAACATAGCTAAAAGGTTTTAGGGATTTTATGCAAAAAGAATTTAAAATGAAATAAAATGAGAAGCCATTAAAACAGGGACAAAGCAGCCCAAAGGGCCTCCGTTAGTGGATGTTTCGATAGATTATTTTTCTTTTGAGGATTATTTTGTAAAATCTTTAACTTAAGATTGTTGAAGTGAATATATATAAATATATATTTTGAAACTTTTAAAGACACAGTGTTTTGCTGGAGTTGATGATAAACCCTCATTTTATGCTCACTTAATTTGCGCTCTTTTCGAGAACTCCGATTTCGAAATCACACGGCTCTTGTTTGGTTGCCAGTCTGTCCCTACTTTGAAAACATCAACTAGGTATCATTGAAGGCTGACCCCTTGCAAATGCAAAAGAAGAAGTAACTGAGTTGAAGATTATTTTTCTTACGTTGTATGTCCAAAAGTCAAGGCCGTATATTGCGGATACGAGGCTAATACAGGTGAATGCTGTCACCACTGCAAGAAAGTCGAAACTGAAAGGGAAACAAAGAAAACTACTTTAATATGACCCCAAAAGAACAACCAAAGCAAGAACTCTACGATGTTTCCGAAAGATCGACCAGTTTATATACCATTCTCATGGATTAAAACTTAATTCCTAATACTTAACCAGGATTCTTGGTAGATAAATAAAAGTTGGGTAATTTCGAGGGTAATTTCCATATCTCCTCAGTTCGTTCTTGTTGTACTTTCAATCTAGGTCAACTTATATAAGTGAACTAAAGTCGCAGCCTCTACAGAATGATATTCTTGTTCCCATTTTGAAATTTGCTATGAACTATCAGCTAAGATAGTATAGATACCTTGCATACTGGTATTTGCCACAAATATACATCGTATATGGCTCTGAAATGTAGTTAGCGAAGAGATCCACAACAAACCACATGAAGAATACTTCGTGCGCCTTAGATACTCGCAACAGGCATGCAATTGTCATTGAAGAAAGCATGAGAGCGAAGCAGTCGCCTCCGTGGTCTAAAAGCTCTCCAAATGGGCTAGAGAGATTTCTTAGTCTGGCAACTTTCCCGTCAATGCTGTCACAAAGAAGCCACATGAAAAAACCAAGAGCACACCAGCTTGACATGTCCTGCACCCCCTGCAAATCAAACATTTCATTAATGAACTTCATAGCAAAGTCATAAGAAAGGAGGGAAAGCTAAGAAAGAAAGGAGGTGGAGTCAAGTTTGCTGATCACAGTTTTTATTACCTTCTTCCTTTTTGTAGGACCTTTTTAGCCTTGTTTTCAAGATAATTTCTTACTTGCGTTTGTAGAATCTTTCAAGTAAGTTTATAAAGGCAATCAACAGACACAAAAATGGCTTGCCTAATGAGTGTAAGTGGTATCACACACATACAAACACTGATTGGTCGTGTAAGTGGTATCACACACATACACACACTGATTGGTCAGTTCTTGATTAAATAATGGCTTAAGCCTTTTTTGCATCTGTCGATTGCCTTTAATATCTTAGCTTTACCAAATCTCTTATAGTCATGATCTGATCAGTAAACTGACCTAATGCAGAAACTCAGATGTTGTTTTCTTTTCAGCCGTTTCAGCCAGTGATGGCGACAAGGGGGGTATGAGGGTACATATTTCTTCTAAAAACTGATTAAAAGGGTCTAGGTTAGGGTAGTTCCTATTTCCTAAGGAAAATAAGCCTGGTACAAAGCAGTGAAACGAGACAAAATGGACGCTGACACTGGTTTTACCCTGCGGGGCAAAATAGGTGCTTCAACTCTGCAGTAGCTTGCGCCGAAACTGGTTTCAGCCCGAGTTGTGAATTTTAAGATATCGAAAAAGGGATTGACACTTTTTCATGTGGTCGAAGTTCTTTGTAAAATCGAATTTCTAACAAGACTGTAACAAGACAGCTACATTGTTCTGGTAATTTTATTCTTTTCTTTCTTCATTTTTGCGAAATTAGATTAACTCTTTCTGAAAAAAGATAAAGACTGATAAATAGATAGATAAAGACTGCTCGAATCATGAAATTGATTGATTCAAGGTTGATAAGATTTTCAATTTTGACCTAAAGCATTTTTTTTGTATTAAGATTTTTCACAAAGGGTAGGTGACTTTCTTGGTCGAGAATTACAGCTTGGTATATTTCTCAGTAAATTAGCAATGAAGATCTTGTTCAAAATTATGGAGCAGCTGAGATAAACAAATTGATAAAAAAGACCTACCTAAAATTAATGAGACAAACCTAAAATTGATATAGAAGCACGCAAGTGAATATTATTTTTCAATAGATTAATGGGTTTTTGATTTTGCTTTAAAATTGAATCGTAATCCAGTGACAGTGCCCAGAAGAAAGAAGGGGGTCAAGAAATGCTATTGGTAAAAAGTATCTATTTTTTTTAAAATAGACACTGTTGGCATGGAATTGTAATAAAAATGGTGTGGTTTTCAGGGTTTTTCGTTACAGACCCCACCCAACCGCCAACCATTCACTGTGCAGCCTCTCAAACAGCCAAATTGAGAAAGCTCATAGTAAAGCTAGTTCTGTAAAGACCATGTAATAAGCATCATGCCTGTCTGTTTCCAATGTGTTCAAAATACGACACAAGGATACAAGGTATAGTGGTAGACAGTATTCCAACAATCGTAAGTCCATTTGGAGAGATGAATCTCGGCAGGCATTCAGTGATTTTGTCAAATCCTGAATCCAGAATGAAAAGAACCTCGCGACCTTCGCATCGGTAACGATGTTTTCTAATCCTGGCAAGCTTCTCTGCATTCAAAATTGCCATTGCCAATTCTTGCAGTAAGACCACTTTTGGATCAGATGAGATTCAGTTCAGAAGTCATTTATGATACCAAAGGGATCTGTCTGGAAATAAAGGAAGCAATATTTTAATTGAAGATCAAAATTTGCTGGGAATTTTTATTAGATACATTTAACCAAATTTATTACTTAAACTAGCATTACTTAGACAAGGGGAGGCTCTCATCTCATTAGTTTACTTACTTTGAGAGCTCCTTAAAGACTCATTGCTAACAACGGGCAGCGTGGCGACGGTCCTTAGTAAGCTTGGCGACGGACCAAACAATGGCAGTAAACTTCTACGGATTAACCAAAATTGATTTCAGACAGTCTAAAATGCATTATGGGATGGTTAGGTAGCGCAATGGCTCATTGTTAGCTATGAGTCTTTCAGAATTCTACTACATCTAGTTGTATTGTGTTGTTTTTTCTTTATATTATGTTATCAATATTGTGTTAATAATTATTATTATAGTGGAATTCGAATCACTTTGCCTTGAAGAAAATTAAACAATAAATATTTGAGATTCTTTTTGCTTTACTTATGTATGTTGTTAGGATTCTTTATTGAGCTTAGACTACGCAGACTAAACCCGGATTTTGATTTAACCAATAAGCGAAAACAATTAATTGTCTTTTACTCGCTTTGGTCCTAGTTTGATACTGGTTTGGCCCTTGTCTGGTTCTGGTTTGGTCCTGGTTTGGTCCTGGTTTGGTCCTGGTTTGGTCCTGGTTTGGTCCTGGTTTGGTTCTGGTATGGTCCTGATTTGACCTTGGTTTGGCTCTGGTTTTGACCTTTGCTGTGCTCGGATCAACGTTTTTGCGCCTACAAAGTGTTATACTGCTGCTACCTAGGGTTCATTTTCCAGGCTCTACAGTGTCAATCTTTATTGTAATTGGTACAATGGAACGCCAACTAAAGCCCTGTTTATACTACACAAAGTAACTTGTGTTCGCTCTTAGTTAAATGCAGCCGGGTTCGAAACCTGATGCGTTTACACTGGAAACTGTCGCCTGGGTTAGTTTGATATCGACGCATGCGTAACACAAAAAATTGAAGGTGAGGATAAGCAAAATGGCGGTAGTCAACGTATAGGTTGTTTGTGAACTTTACAGAATACAATAAATCAACTTTAAAAACAATTATTTCCCAGTGTGGGCCTCGTACACGGTGAAAACTTCGCATTCGCGCTTTGTTTTGCATTCGGCGCAATTTCTCTCACTATGCATGCATCCTGAAGAAGCTAGGCTAGTTCCCAGATTGCTTTCAACTAACGTACTACATTAGTGTCCTGACCTCTCTTCTTGATACAAGTTGTCAAAAAGTGATAAATCACGTAAGTAGCCTGTGTTACTGTAAATCCAAATAGCAACATTGTAAATGAATCAAGATCATTAAGTTTTATTAAATTAACTGATTCGCTCATCATATTGTCAAAAAGTGACTTCGTATTGGCATAATGAATATGATTTGCTATCATAAGTGCTAAAGAGTGGCTGTGTTAAATATTATCAATGGGAAACATAATAATGATTATAAAACAGGGCACTGTAAAATTCCTAACGCAACTAGCAATCCTTTGAGAAGCATGTGAAGGAGAAGTCAGAGAAGAGAGGACAATATTCATCCGCCCTGCTGACCCTCCCAATTCACATGACAGATTTACGGCCCTGCTCTCTTTGTTTCTTCTCTTTTTTGTTAAATAAAGTTGTTGCTAAGAGATAAGACACACTTAAATTCTATTTTGTTAATTAAAATGTGCAAATATCAATTAAGACCTATTTTCCTCGAGATTTCACCTTCACAATACCTTCACGAGTTCTATTTACAATATTTGCCGTGTACTCTTGACGTAGTTGAAATCCAAAGCCATCTTATACACTAAAGTAGAAACACTCGCGAATGAGACTTGGAGCATTACGAAATGCGCCTGACGGACCAGGAAAGAAAATGAAAAAAATGTGATAGCGGAAACAGAGAGCCAATCAAATATGTCTTTCTTCCTTTCACGATACTCTCGATCCACACCTGGATATAAATTATCAGCTTAGGCAGTCTTTTCACTAAACCGGCTCAAAACAAAACCGGGTTCGCAGTATCCGTTTTGCATTGCGTACCCACTAACCCAGTTGAAAAACAGATAAATTTAGAAACGGGTCTCCAACTGGACCAGTTTTTGGCCGGATATGTGTTAACCAACCTTTGGGCTAGTGGGAACGTCAAACTCGGGAACTTTGGATCCGCTAAGAACAGCAACAGCAACAGCAACAGCAACAACAACAGTGTTGTGCGAAAAATTCAAGTACTATCGTTATAAATGCTGATTTCCCACACAGCTCTGCGTGCTTCGCTTTCTGCTTATAACACTCTAAATCTGATTTACCAGAAGGGAGGAGGGTTAAGGACACATTTTAAGCCTGGGTACACTTTAAACCAGCTTAGTGAAAACGATCAAAAACGGATTAGAACGAGCTTGAAGCAAACGGGTGTTTCGATTGGCTCACTTTAAATACGGATACATTTCAATCTGTTTTTGTTTTAAACCGCGTAAGTGGAAAGGCTGCCTACTTTCGGTCATTATCCCACGTTTACACTCCGAAGAGTGTCGGACGAAAAGTACTTAAGTATGCTATGTCTCCGCTAATTTGTGCGATTTTCAAATTTGCGGTACCAAAGCTTAGTTGGTAAAATAAATTCATTTGCTAATGGAAAATTTCACTTCAACAGATAGAAAGAAATTTGGGTCCGGATGTGTATCATATAAATAATCTAAGGGCCACTACGGCCGTCAAGTCAGCTGTGCTGTTCCTCATGAGAGCGTGTTAGGTCCAATTCTCATTTTCAATGTATCGATTATACTATAGTTATATTTTATTACTCTCTTTTTGGAGATGAGTGCAACTTGTATCTGTATTCTTCTTTGATAACGTAGTCATGGTACAGTTTTGTAAAATCTTTCGATATAGATTGAAAAGGTCCTCTTCAGTTGCTGCGATTACACTTTACTTATCAACTTAACGAGCATGAGGCTCGACAAATTGTTGTAGATTCGTTTCTGCGTGAATCAAAAAAAATTATCTTTCATTAGAAATCCGTCGATGTTCTGAAACTAACACCATTCATTGGATTGGTTATTGCCGAATCTTTAGTATCTGGCCTTGATTACTGTCTTGTTGAAATCTTTAGCAAATACCTGCAATTCGATTGATTTTTTTCAAAGAATCTCCCTGGAAACTCGAAAATTTGTATTAAATATTTTGAACATATTGCCTTACAATTGAAAACAAAAAAAAGCAAATATCCTTTGTCGCTGCCTAATGTAAATGCTTAATCAAAGCTTTGCCCAGATATACAAAAAATCACGAAGGCAGCAAATTTGGCGGTGATTTTGAAAATAAATTTGAGTTCGAGGCAGTTTCGCATAAAAAGTTAAGGGGCGCCACAAGGTGGCTGCGGCGGTGGGTAAAGAAGTTGCCCGGGGTAGGTAAAGGAGTTACCTAGAGCGCCACAAGGTGGGTAAAGGAGTTACCAGGGGTGGGTAAAGGAGTTCCATAGGGGTGGGTAAAGGAGTTACCGAG